GAACGAACGAACGAACGAACGAACGAACGAACGAACGAACGAACGAACGAACGAACGAACGAACGAACGAACGAACGAACGAACGAACGAACGAACGAACGAACGAACGAACGAACGAACGAACGAACGAACGAACGAACGAACGAACGAACGAACGAACGAACGAACGAACGAACGAACGAACGAACGAACGAACGAACGAACGAACGAACGAACGAACGAACGAACGAACGAACGAACGAACGAACGAACGAACGAACGAACGAACGAACGAACGAACGAACGAACGAACGAACGAACGAACGAACGAACGAACGAACGAACGAACGAACGAACGAACGAACGAACGAACGAACGAATGAACGAATGAATGAATGAATGAATGAATGAATGAATGAATGAATGAATGAATGAATGAATGAATGAATGAATGAATGAATGAATGAATGAATGAATGAATGAATGAATGAATGTATGAATGAATGAATAAATGAATGAATGAATGAATGAACGAGTGAACGAGTGAACGAGTGAACGAGTGAACGAGTGAAGGGATGAACGGATGAACGGATGAACGGATGAACGGAATGAACGGAATGAACAGAATGAATGAATGAATGAATGAATGAATGAATGAATGAATGAATGAATGAATGAATGAATGAATGAATGAATGAATGAATGAATGAATGAATGAATGAATGAATGAATGAATGAATGAATGAATGAATGAATGAATGAATGAATGAATGAATGAATGAATGAATGAATGAATGAATGAATGAATGAATGAATGAATGAATGAACGAATGAACGAATGAACGAATGAACGAGTGAACGAGTGAACGAGTGAACGAGTGAACGAGTGAACGAGTGAACGAGTTAAAGAGTGAAGGGATGAACGGATGAACGGATGAACGGATGAACGGAATGAATGAATGAATGAATGAATGAATGAATGAATGAATGAATGAATGAATGAATGAATGAATGAATGAATGAATGAATGAATGAATGAATGAATGAATGAATGAATGAATGAATGAATGAATGAATGAATGAATGAATGAATGAATGAATGAATGAATGAATGAATGAATGAATGAATGAATGAATGAATGAATGAATGAATGAATGAATGAATGAATGAATGAATGAATGAATGAATGAATGAATGAATGAATGAATGAATGAATGAATGAATGAATGAATGAATGAATGAATGAATGAATGAATGAATGAATGAATGAATGAATGAATGAATGAATGAATGAATGAATGAATGAATGAATGAATGAATGAATGAATGAATGAATGAATGAATGAATGAATGAATGAATGAATGAATGAATGAATGAATGAATGAATGAATGAATGAATGAATGAATGAATGAATGAATGAATGAATGAATGAATGAATGAATGAATGAATGAATGCATGAATGAATGAATGAATGAATGAATGAATGAATGCATGAATGAATGAATGAATGAATGAATGAATGAATGAATGAATGAATGAATGAATGAATGAATGAATGAATGAATGAATGAATGAATGAATGAATGAATGAATGAATGAATGAATGAATGGACGGACAGACGGACGGACGGATGGACTGACGGACGAACGAACAAACGATCGAACGAACGAACTAACGAACCAATCAATGAATCAATGAATCAATAAATCAATGAATCAATGAATCAATGAATCAATAAATCAATGAATCAATGAATCAATGAATCAATGAATCAATGAATCAATGAATCAATGATTCAATGAATCAATGAATCAATGAATCAATGAATCAATGAATCAATGAATCAATGAATCAATGAATTAATGAATCAATGAATCAATGAATCAATGAATCAATGAATCAATGATTCAATTAATCAATGAATCAATGAATCAATGAATCAATGAATCAATGAATCAATGAATCAATGAATCAATGAATCAATGAATCAATGAATCAATGAATCAGTGAATTAATGAATCAATGAATCAATGAATTAATGAATCAATGAATCAATGAATCAATGAATCAGTGAATTAATGAATCAATGAATCAATGATTCAATGAATCAATGAATTACAATGTAGTGGAAATGCATACAGATTACTGTAACACCTACATATATCCTCGTCCATTTCATTTTCGCCACATTGATCTCTATACGCCGCAGCATCAGTTAGGACACCAACCCCGGACTCCTGTTTAACATTTAACAAAACACTTGCAATAATGTTGGATAGGTCTTAAATACTTTTGTTATATTTTTAAAACATGTCGTAAAACATAAAAACTACCAATTTGGAGATTTTAAAAACAAAAACCCCAACAACAACAGAAAATCATCTTCATCAAAATATTTTAAAATTATATTCACAATGACTTTCAAGTTGAACTTCAGCTAATAAAAAACAAAGTCAAGCCTAAAAAAAATTCGAACCTCTAAAACTTGGCATGCATCGTTATTAAAATAAAGTGTTGGATAATATCGATTATCGTAATCCATGAGAGCGGAATGGACCTGTATTGCAGACATATCAATAGTTTATATATATATATATATATATATATATATATATATATATATATATATATATATATATATATATATATATATATATATATAATTTATAAAATTATATAATTTTTTAAACTTTCTATTACTTTCTCTAATACGAAGTATAGAGAAAGTATTGTCTCGACGTTTTACACCTCCCTGAGTGCGAAAAACATAGTCTTGCAATTTTGTTCGTATGCCTGTGTGTGTGTGTGTGTTTATGTGTGTTTGTGAACATTATAACTTGAGTACGGTTACAGCTAGATTGAAGAAATTGTATATATAAGTATTATATCAAATGTGTAGTTCTCTGTCATCTTTTCAGTGATTTCCGGTAAACGGAAGTGGAACTCATTTTACTTCCAATTTTTTTTTAAATTCTCTAACTTGTGTATTTCTTCAGATAGATAATTGACTATTCACAAGTAAGTAAAAGATCTAATTCTCTGCCTTTTGTCAAATTTTGAGAAATTTCAGTTGGCCAAAATAGTATTTTACGCCATTTCCGATTTCGCAAAAAAAAAAAGAATATGAATTTATAAAGTAGCATTATTGCGCACTATAGTACATATATTTTTGCCGTTCACATTGAGATCACATACGAGATTCTAATCTTTTTAAAAAGCTATTTTTAATTAAAAATGGGTTAAAAATCATATCTATATCCCGAGTTTCCATACCCCATTGATTTATATAAGACAATTAAAGAATGTTTAGGGGAAATCCTACCGTATTTTTTTTTAAAACTCAAACATATTTGTGTAAAAAGCTGTGTTATCGAAGAGTGCAATTTGATGTTTGGGTGACATTTTCGAATAAAGAAATAGTGTATGTGTTGCTTTATGCATAGCTCTTAATTTTTTATTCAATGTTTTTTGTTTGCGTTAATAAAAATAAAATTTTAATATGTCCGATTCAATATATATATATATATATATATATATATATATATATATATATATATATATATATATATATATATATATATATATATATATATATATATATATATATATATATGTATATGTATGTATATATATATATATATATATATATATATATATATATATATATATATATATATATATATATATATATATATATATACTCACATCAGTAACTGTAACGTCATTTCCACTTTTAAGTAAAGAAACGCTCTGGTCAATGGCCAATAAATGGACGTTGGAGTCTGGGTCAGCTGTGGTGACAACAGTGACATCATCTCCTGGTTCAACATCAGCCATGTCAAGGTCAACGGTCACCTGTTTAACACAGAGTAACGTTATTGTCAACTGTTGAACAAAGAACTGCGTTAAATATAAACTTGTGCTACTCACGCAAAGCACCACGCTAGAGGGATGATCACAGTGATAATGTGTACCTTGTTATTGAAAGCACCGCTGATGTCGAAGCTGATACTGTCTGGGACAACTTCACCGTCTGGTCTGACGTAGTAGACGACGATTCTGGCAGAGGGCGCCATGCTGGGCTCAGAGACGACGGAGAAATTGACGCTTTTCTGGTTGTTGCCATTTATTGTGCCAGATTTTATTATGTTGCCTCGAGAGAGAACCTGTAGAACACGTAAAACAGAAATGTTACATCTGTTACGATTTTCACACATGTGTTAGATACATATTCTAATATCGAATAATGTTTATTATAAAAATAAGTATGAATGCCTATGTATACCTGATACAAAAGAATAGACAGTTCTTCAGTACCGTTGATGGAAAACAAGATTATGTCCCCTGCCTAGAAGAATGTTTAAGATACATAGTTAGTTTTTAATAATAATCATTAAAAAAGTTTTTAAAAACCCACGTTTTCTGATTGAACTAAAAAGTAGAAAATAAATGCTATACATCACAATAATGCAAGTAAAGATACGTATTAAAATATGTTGATCTACATCCATTTTCATGGAAGACAAACGTAGTTTCTTTCATTATGGCAGTGTACTGAGTACACAAACATACATGGCTTAAGTCATAATTTGATAAAAAAAATTTTACTACCTGTATAGAAGCAGATTGCAGGTAAATTTGGATGTACGAGCTACTTGGGGAGTGTCTCTTTTCTAAGTAAAGTGTTCGGGTAACTCCTTGGAAATCTGACTAGAATTGGAATATACAAATGCAATCCATTATTAATATTCGACAAATAAAGCTTATTTTTAGCGTTCCACATTTAAGTCCACATTTAAGTCACAGAAGTACAACAGATTTACGAAATGAAATTTTATTTTTAACCCATGGTAAAAAAAAATTAAATACAGAAACATCCCACACTTACTGATATAATGACGGCCTCGTGGAATGTTGGTGTCTGAACTAGAATGGGTACCAGACCGCTGCTAGGGACGCTCAAAGTCTGGTCAGGAATGTCTGCGATTGGTGAACTGAAAAAGCCCCTGCTGTAGTTATAGAATCTGAAGTTGACTGTAACAGTTTCACTAGTGGAACGGATTGGAAGTCCATCTGGCTGTGAGATCTTTAGCTATAAAATTAGGAAAAAAAACATGTGTAAAATGAAAATAATTTGATATCATAATTATATGATTCACAGTAGGTTTAAAGATCTTAGGTCGTACCCATCAGTAGTTTTTGTCTCAATTGATCTGTTTTAAGTGTTTCCATAATTGGTGTACTGTATAGTACTTACATTAAGTACTGACGTATTCGATATACCATAAAGAACTTACAAATTACATAGGCGACGTACTGTTAAGAACTTAATTAAGCAATGTACTGTAAAGTACTTACATAGGCAATGTACTGTAAAGTACTTACATAAGCAATGTACTGTAAAGTACTTACATAAGCAATGTACTGTAAAGTACTTACATAAGCAATGTACTGTAGACCAGGCTTGAAGGTCTTGGGATTGTTCTCCGGGTACTCAAGTTTCACACCTTTGTCGTACATGGTGACGGTTCCGTTACTGGACATCTGGTTTCCGGTCAGAGACTCGATCACGTTGGCGGAGACTATAAGTGTGACCTCATTCAGTGAGTAGGCAAACTCTTTGACCTTTGACATAGGTACTACCGCCCTGGTCTCTCCATCAATCTGCATCAGTTCACAAAACGATCTCTTGGTTTTATAAGTTTTTTTAGTTTACAATAGTTGCTAGTTTGTTTGTTTGTTTGCAGTTTGTGGAAAATACTGTAACGCAACAATAGTTGCTAGTTTGTTTGTTTGTTTGTAGTTTGTGGAAAATACTGTAACGCAACAATAGTTGCAAGTTTGTTTGTTTGTTTGTAGGTTTGTGGAAAATACTGTAACGCAACTTTATCCATTTTCTAAAGCAGGGATTTCGTTACTTTCCAGATACATTGGTTTCTAATGACATCGAAATAACATACAGTTTTTAATAGAATTAGCTATTTTTTAGACATTAAAAATGAATTAAACGTTTAATTTAATAACAGAAGGAAGAAACCACGATTACGTACTAACCGACGGTAATGAGCCCACGTTTTAAAATCTTGAAAACCGACCTACGTACGATTTTAATTTATAAAAGTAATAATTTTTTTTTTTATGAATGAATTAATTTATTTTTGCCTTAGACATGTAATTTACAGCGTCCGTTTACTTTGCCATGCCCGCTTAAAAGTATTCTAGTTTTTAGCATCGGCTTGTGAGGACTGACACAGGTTTACAATAGTAATACTTCTTTCTCACATCTAACCTACTCTCATTAATTTAAGGTGGTTTACTTATACATAGATCTAATACAAAAACAATTTTATTTTTAAACCTGAAAATGCAAATGTGTAATTAAATGCTGATTTGACGACATGAAGTGGATTGATGGGGTATGGGTTTATAAGTGAAGCTGAAATAAATTTGGGATTAAAAAAAAATTGTTATGAAAAATATTATTACAAAAAAAAAGAACAAAAGAGCAGGGTATTGTTTTTCGGTAGAGTGGGTTTAGGGGGTATGGGCTTATAACTTGAGCTGAGAGTAAAAAAAATAATATAAATATTATAAGCCCTCTGGGTAATATGTTAAGTACAATAAGACACCACCAATTAAACATTCTTCCCTTTTAAGCAGCTATATCTATAGCAGTCCTACTGCAGTATTTTTGTTTTTCTTTATTTTATAAATTTATTTCAAACATTAAAAAGAACAATTATTATTTATTTTGTCGTTTTATACAGTTTCAAAGACATGATCATGAATTTTATATATAGCAATTAAACGAAAAAAAAAGTAAAATGGCAAAAGAACTAGCCTAAAATAGGGGACGCAACTGTTTCTTTTGAAACCAAAAGTTGACATTGTAGCAACAAAAACGGCCGTCGGAAACGGGTCGCTGTAATACTCATACTGATCTATCACTTCTAAATTTTCCATGACCCAAAATTGACTACTGGTGATGAGCGTATGCTGGCTTTGAACTATCTTTTTCTCCAATACTTTTATTTCCATTAAAAAAAATAACATTGACATGTATGTTAGTGTATTTGTCTGTAGCAGCATGTAACCATCACTCAGTGGGGATGCTTTTACCCACTGAGGTGTTGTGGTTAAGACGGGCTGACCCTGAGATTAAGTACACACCGACACCGACAGTTAGTTGTCCAGTACTGCTTTATTTACAGCATCGAGCCATGACGGCGATGCAACACAGTAGTACAAAACAAACTAGCCAAGAAGAAAGAATCCAAAAGACCAAAAGAAAAAAAACTGTAGCCCTAAAACAAATGTAAATAAAAAAAGTTACATTCCTGACAACACCATGTGTAGGCTATAATATACACGGGTAACAATAAAATATGTTTTGGCCAGTACACAGTACTGCCAACAAGTACCAATACGTAGTACTACAAATAAATACTTATATTAATACTCACCCTGACTAGTGTGCACATGCAGCACTAGCAGGAATACACAAATAAGTATTTTAACAAACATAATCTATATAACTACCTTCATTAGGTCTACATCTTGGTCCACAGACAGCAGCCTTGCGTGTGCGACACGGCTAGGCATGAAACTACCCACAATCCCATGTCACATGACATGGAACACAGGTAATTTCGCTCACAAAAGCATAAAAAAACGTCAACAGTTCAGTTGCGGTCCCACAGGGGCCGCAACCCAATGAATAAAAACTTCATATTTTTTATCCCCCATTGGCTGGTAACCATATGTGTTACACAGCCCCCCTCACAAATAAATGTACAATGGAATTCACATTTACATTTACAACTTATACATAATAGCACTTAAAAAAAGTTCAGTACACTATTACACAGACATTAAGTCCTTTCAACTTAAATACATTATTCCCGGCAAACCGGTAGAGGCTCCAGTGCTGGTACTGGTCACCACTTGATGCGCCAGGTTGAGTCGCTCGACGGGTCGTCGTTGACGGGTTGACCTCCGCAGCTCCACTGGTGGTTCTGGGTTGATCCAAGAGTCATCCTCGTCCGATGCCTCGTCCCTCGCATTCACCTCATCCAGATGTGGGGCTGGCCTGACCATCACCTTGTCTTGTCCGTCCCGGGCGACCACCTCGGGCACGAAAGGCGTTGCCTCCGGCCGAAGTCTGGCTGGGACTACCACCTTGATTGTCAGTTCCTCACCTTCATCTGCCTCACTGGTTGGGATGATCTCTCTCCGTCGCTCCCCCTCCGCCACAGTGGGTTCAGCACTCGACATTGTATAGTCGGGTCGCTGCCAACCACGGCGGCGTCCACCACGTCGTCGGCCTCTCCTCCGGCGGCGTCTCCGACCTCTGCTTGTGTCATGTCTGTCTCCCAAGCGACGATCTTGCTCGCGCTGAGACTGACATTCATAGTGTGGCTGTCTACCCTTCTCACGCGCACCCTCCGGCTGCAACCCTCCTCCACGGCGGAACACCCGACAGCCGTACTTCCAGCCGCTAGGCGAGGTAACCTGAGCTGTGGTTGCTCGACACTGTGATGATCTCGGTGGCGTAAACTTGGGCTGGGAGCTTGGCAGAACACGCATCAGCATCCGCTCCCCGACGCTGATGGATTGGCGTTTCCCTGCTGCTGACCCCGTTGCCTAGCTGCTTTTCTCGGACAGTCGCGGACGAAGTGCTTCGTAGACCCGCACTCGTAACAAGCTCCTCTGGAGGGCTGTTGTTTTCGGGCTAGGATATCTGCCACCTTCTCCGCCAGACGGTCGAGTTGTTCCTCCGTGAGCATCAGCGGCGTAGTCTCCTGGCGACCAGCTACCGTTACTGCGTCGACCTTCTGCGCCAGACGGTCGAGTTGCTCCTCCGTGAGCATCAGCGGCGGCGTCGTCTCTTGGTGAACAGCTGCCGTTACTGCGTCGACCTGGATAGTCCTGTTAGCTGCTGCCGTGGCTACGACTGGGGACTCAGTTGTCCCGTCCAGCCTTTTAACAGCTTTCAGGACGTCCTCCACCTTCGGACTGGCTTCCCCTGCGAAACCAAATGTACCGCGAAGTTCGAGCGCCAGAAGAGGTGAAACCCCCTTGCAGAAAGTGTGATACACCTTCTTCTGGGCATCGGCCTCAGTAAAGATACGCTGCTGGTTTAGCTTCGTCATCTCTGACCACAGTCGGCAGAGAAATTCCGACGCTGACTCCCTTGGATGTGGAGTGAGTCGGCTGAACTGCAGATACCTGTCTTCGGCACATCTGGTGTCGCCAAAAGTGCTTTGTAGGAGGCATAGCACTTCCTCTGGACTCGCAGCTTGCTTCACCCGCTCATAGGCAATCCCTCTCAGGCTGCCTAAGACGCGTGGCAACGGGTTCGGAACGCTGGTGTTCCGCAGCAAACATTGAACTTGGGTTTCCCATTCCGGGAAACTCACCTCCCCTCCTCCAGTGGGTGGAAGGCCGGTGAACTCAGCTTGCTGTTGTGTGCTGGAGCACACACCTCCACCGTCACGGGCCGCTGCGCATCTGCCTGCTGTAGATCAGCCATCTTAGCCCTCAACTTGGCCAGCTCCTGCGACAACTTCTCCAACGTCGGGTCGCTGTTTTCCATCCTACCTCTCAAGGTCAAGCCCCACGTTGGGCGCCAAATGTAACCCTCACTCAGTGGGGATGCTTTTACCCACTGAGGTGTTGTGGTTAAGACGGGCTGACCCTGAGATTAAGTACAAACCGACACCGACAGTTAGTTGTCCAGTACTGCTTTATTTACAGCATCGAGCCATGACGGCGATGCAACACAGTAGTACAAAACAAACTAGCCAAGAAGAAAGAATCCAAAAGACCAAAAGAAAAAAAACTGTAGCCCTAAAACAAATGTAAATAAAAAAAGTTACATTCCTGACAACACCATGTGTAGGCTACAATATACACGGGTAACAATAAAATATGTTTTAGCCAGTACACAGTACTGCCAACAAGTACCAATACGTAGTACTACAAATAAATACTTATATTAATACTCACCCTGACTAGTGTGCACATGCAGCACTAGCAGGAATACACAAATAAGTATTTTAACAAACATAATCTATATAACTACCTTCATTAGGTCTACATCTTGGTCCACAGACAGCAGCCTTGCGTGTGCGACACGGCTAGGCATGAAACTACCCACAATCCCATGTCACATGACATGGAACACAGGTAATTTCGCTCACAAAAGCATAAAAAAACGTCAACAGTTCAGTTGCGGTCCCACAGGGGCCGCAACCCAATGAATAAAAACTTCATATTTTTTATCCCCCTTTGGCTGGTAACCATATGTGTTACACAGCATATAAAGGATTTACAGCAACATAATGTACATATAAGTGCATAAGAGAGTTAACATTTTAAAAATACTTTGCACATGGTGAAGGATTTAGAACTTAGAAACATAAATAAATAGAGAAATAATCGATGCTATGCGAAGTTTTATAACATCAACATCTGGTTATATGACACCAACTTGTGGTTACATGTGTGTTGGTTTAACAATTAAATAAAGGCTAGTTTTAAACATGTTTACATTAACTAGGATGATTTATAACATCATATAAACAATGGCCGGTTCTAAAAACATTGTCATCATAAGTGTGAAGAGAAAATTAGATGGTGTTCTTACACAGTGGTAGGACAACAGTTGTGTGATCATTAGCTGTGTATTAGCTAGCAGACAAAAGCATTGTGATCATGAAGGAAAGGTTGGCTGAGACAGTGTGTGGGGAGGAGGGTGGGGGGGGGGTTACTGCGGACCGACCGGGACCGTGGTGCGCGTCTTGATGGTTGTGTATATTAATTTTGATGTGTGTAGTTCCTATAATGGGAGGGGTCAGTGAAGCTATGACGGCAACAGTCTAATCGCATTTGGTATGGGGTGGGTTAGTTATGTGAAATGAGAGTGAGTGTTATTTGCTGGGGTTGAAAGTTAGTAAAGAGATGGGGGATTAATGAGGGCTATTTATGTTACATATATCCATCGTATAATTAACATTTATCTTTATTTATTTTGGTAATACATCATCATCAGTATGTAGTATAGTATTTCAACACAAGACATTGCAAAGTTAGTAGTCTTATGGTGGTATATAAGTAAAGTATTTGCGCTTAAGGTTGGGTATGGAATGAACATATTGGTTGGGGTGTGGCGGACCAGGTATCGGACTCCATGATGCGTGTCCTAACTGTTATAGTGTTCTATTTATAGCGTGTGTGTTGTTCTTTTTGAGTCGTCTACTAAAGATCAGGTCAAGGGTCTGTCTGGTGAATTCTGCCCTATTTCTACAATTCCAAATAATTTGTCTATATAAAGCTACTGACCTTTGATCTATCCGCCAGCCCGGTTTGGGGGGGGGGGTGTATTTCCTAAGTATATGATTATGACTTTAATTAAACTAAACATAAAGAAGTAAAACAAACTTTCATACAGTTTTCCTTCAGAAAAGCATTCGTCGCTCGTAAAAACTCTTACACTTTCTAGTAGCGACCAAAGTTTTTATTAAAGAAATCAAATTTGTTTTATTTTATTTTAAATGCATCTAGCTTTTTTTTATATAATAATTTTTTATAATTTGCTCTTTACTAAACTTTGTCAACAAGTGATATTTCAGGCCCCTTAACCTATACAAGGCGGGATAATCTCCCTGTAGGCATACTATGTGTACTAGCACCTACCGGGATTATCAACTGGTAAACGGGTTTCGTCTTCCAATAGTCGTGCAGATTTACTTGGACGATTGCGTTACCTTTGACTGGTTTACCATAGGTGTACCTGTAAGGTGTAAGAGATTACAAATATTCTATAAATTGTGAAGGCGACTTTGTCTAAGGGTCCCTTTATTTAAAGAGCTTGTACGTGAAAATGCTATTAACCACTGGAAAAAAAAACCCATAGATGATACAACTGCCTGCAATTTAAAAAAAAAAAAGTTTATAATACTAATAATAAGAGAAGAAGTGACAATAGTTTTCTTTTTATTCTTTGGTTATGGCTCTTTAAGCACATACAATAACTATTTTTGTCGATGTGTTTTATTTTTCTATGTAAACTTTATAACACTCACAGTAAAAGGGCAACAAATCTATTTTTAGTTCTTCCCAAGTTCGATTAGCTAAACGAAAAAGAACTTGCCGCCCAAGAGCCGAAATTAAAAAAAAACAAATCAACTTACTTTGTCTTAATAGTAAACGTGACGTCAAAATCGCTGGTCAAAACGTAAGGTGGCATGATGACCTCGACCTCGAACTTGGGAAGAACTAAAAATAGATTTTTTGCCCATTCACAGTGAGTGTTATAAAGTTACATAGAAAGATAAAACACATTGACACGAATAGTTATTTTATGTGCTTAAAGAGCCATAACCAAAGAATAAAAAGAAAACCGATTGTCACTTCTTCTCTTCGAATATACGGTCATTGCAAGCTAAAGCTATTGCTCAATAGCAGGTTAGTGAGGGCGGTCTACAGCTCAACCACGTCGTCCTCAACCGATTGTCACTAACAGCTTTTATTTAGTTATGAAAATTTGACTTTATGCTACGAAGATGAGATTTTGTTTTGCATAGTAGAAGCATTGCTAGGGGATATTGCGCCTAAACGGTAAATAAAACATCATTTTAAGGTGCTATATTGAATTTACACGAAGTTAATATAATAAACGGCTACAAGGCTTTATATACCGATTTAATTGGTTTCTACCTTGATAGTTACAATAAAATAAATACCCTTTAGTCTGCGACCCGTAAAAACCGTTAAGCAGCTCAGTGGCGTAGCCAGGATCGTCTCAAGGGGGGGGGGGGTAGGGTCCAATTTTTACCCGGTGACAAACTTTCGATTTGCACCCCTCCCCTCAGACTTTTGATTTGCACCCCCCCCCCTCAAACTTTCGATTTGCACCCCCCCCCTCAGACTTTTGATTTGCACCCCCCCCCCCGCCTCAAACTTTCGATTTACACCCCCCCCCCCTCATACTTTATATATAAACCGAGGGGTCTATGGGGGGGGGGGGGTTATGACCCCCCCTAACCCCCCCCCCCTGCCTACGCCACTAAAGCAACTGATTGGTATAAAGACTAGTTTTGTTCCCATCGTGTTTCCACTAAATTTGTATCCTTAAGGACTAACCTAAACAACGGGACATCTAACTAAATTATAAAAATAAATCATTGTCTTCCTCACGACAGGCTTTGCAGCTAGTAAATGAATAAATAAGATAATAGAACTTAGATAACCCCCTGAGGTACTCGAGTACTATAGAACAATAGAAGAGATACTCCAACATAGAACAATAAAAGAGATACTAGAACTTCGAACAACAAAGGTGGTATATATAGGGGAACTAAACCAAAAAAAAAACTACCCGTGTTGAATGAGATACAAAAAAATTAGTGTTACCATACTCTGCTACATTGAAGGATTTCTCTTCTTTCAAATTCTGAAAAAAAAATGTTCAATAAACATTTAGTTTACATTTAAATATTTTATTTTAACAAAGGTATTAGCTCAAAAATATATTTTAAAGTTTCAGTAATGAAGACATATTTATTGTTTGTTTAATGTAAAACAATTTGTCATCAAAAAGGCTAAAAGCTTGGTTGTCTAAAAGTAAACAGGAAACTAGACAAAAGAGTAAACAAGAAACTAGACATTGAAAATATTTTACGCCAGCCTCAACGACAACTTTCCAGTCCCCAAGGACTGGCTGGGATGAGAGGGTCAGCTCCTCGGCGATGACCCCTTTTACTGGAGTGACCTTGACCCACTGTTTGATCTTGTTGTTCTTTGCGTCCTGGCTCAACAAACATAAAATTGCTAATATACTACGTGAAAGAAAATTATTTCAAATACTTTTTTTTTGTTTTTTGACGAAATTCATGCGGTTGTCGCTAGCTAAATTACTTACATAAATAGAAATGTCCATTGTCCCTTTGTACGACTGTAAATCAGAGTACACTCCAAAAACTCTATATTTCACTGGAAAGAATAGCTTTAGATGCATAAAACAAGTATCATATAGTTTATTGAATGGCAAAAGCCGCTTGCAAAGAACTAAAGAGTCGTTACATAAAGTCTAAATTGTGATTGAAATAGTTAAAACAGCCTTGTCACTAAAGCAAGAAAATGTATTTAATAGAACTTAACAAACGTCTATCTACCTCTATCACTAGGCTTAAAGATTGCCTTGTATAAACGTCTACCTACCTCTATCACTAGGCTTAAAGATTGCCTTGTATAAACGTCTACCTACCTGTATCACTAGACTTACAGATGGACTTATATAAACGTCTACCTACCTATATCACTAGGCTTAAAGATGGCCTTATATAAACGTCTACCTACCTGTATCACTAGGCTTAAAGATGGCCTTATAGAAACGTCTACCTACCTATATCACTAGGCTTAAAGATGGCTTTATATAAACGTCTACCTACCTATATCACTAGGCTTAAAGATGGCCTTATAGAAAAGTCTACAAACCTGTATCACTAGGCTTAAAGGTGGCCTTAAATAAACGTCTACCTACCTATATCTCTAGGCTTAAAGATGGCCTTATAGAAAAGTCTACCTACCTGTATCACTAGGCTTAAAGATGGCCTTATTCAGCTGTATAAACAGCGAAGCCTCTTTGCTGTTGTAGGAGATGATCTTGTAATTTTCAAAGTTCACCCCGCCGCCACCAACAACTTTAAGAGTGTAGTCGCTGTCGGTGAGGTCAGCTGGCAACTGAGGAAACGTAAAGAAGATTTGATGTTTTTAGGCATGCCAATCTATTGTATCAAAGATTTTAAAGTACTGAAAAATTGCATAAAAACATTTAATAAAAAGCTTTTATGTAATAATGCACTACCATTAGAAAATTAATAACTTTCTTTAAATATAATAAGAAACTACTTGTTAAATAACTAAAACAAAAAGCTCCAGTCCCGCTGTGTGATAGCCCGTATGGTCATTGCACAGGTAAACAAAGCAACTTTGATACATGAACTAGATTTTAGCTGTTGGAGTATTTAGAATATAGATCAAACAAAAATTTAACAGTTAAAACATAAACAATTATAAAAACACAATATTATCATATTACCGAGTTTTTCTACTGAACAACTGTAGTTCTTAAATAATTCATATAAAATAAATCTTTTGTTTCATAGGAATAAAATAGTTTAACTAATGAAAAATTATATTGGGCTTATTTTATTTTATAATGAAGTGTGACCACCCGTAATCTATTTAACGGAGAGTAGGCTTATATAAAGTAGTTCAATCTATTTTTCAATTAAAGAAAGTACCTAATTGGCCGAGGTAACATTGCGTTGGCGTACCTCTCAAGTAACATGAGTACAAAATACATCTCGTGTGTGTTGACTTTTTAATTTTAATTTTTCTGCACAGAAAGTGCACAGTGGGAGATCACAGCGCACGAATGCTTCTAATTCAATATTATTATTATTTCGACGTCAGCTTTAATAATTTGTTCATTTGTTATTTATCTGAGATTAGAGCTCTAAACATTTTATAGGAAGAAATCTATGTTTTAAAAATAAAAAAAAACATTTAAGTTGAGGTGAGATTTTTTTAAAGATGTGTATGGCACAGTTGTCTTTCGGACCGGGCGGGACTAGAGGCAGGTGAAGCAGAGTTTAACTGTTTCTGTTACCTCAGTATATGAAGGGATAATGTGCTCAGTCCCATGTTGGGGAAAATAAAAATCGTTAAAACAAGAGTGACATCATTTATGAATGACCCCGAGACCAACAGTTATCCTAAAATAACGGGTGTTCTAGTACGTTTTAATATTTTTTTAAATAACAAAATGTAAGGCTCACCTTCATTGTGATTGTGCCCGGGGTACCTGTGAGAGAGAATAAACCATACACAATTTTTCTTGGTACAACTGTCAGGGGCATTGAATGGTCAATTGGTAAAGCGAGCAATTGTAAACCAGAAAACCTATCGTTTGGTTTCGGTTTGTCAGTCCCCGACTAACGAATACCATTTAGTTATATACGGTCACGTGATGATGGGATGGCGTGGTCAGGCGCTAGCAGCTAGATCACACTGTTCATAACCATAACATGTGTTTCAAGAAAGTTAAAATATGTTGGGGAGGTGAAAGAGATTTCAGGTCAACATATCTCAAAAGGTCATTAGGCTTTTTATTTCAAGTTGAATTTCCGAATCAGGTTAAAATGGACGGTCCCGAAATTTGTTTTTTATTTTTTTACTTTCTCGTATATACGAAGTTTAAAGAAAGTCTTGTAATCGTGCAAAAAAAAAATCGAGATTTTTGCAAATCTCAAAGTTTTACAGATCGCTGAGTCGGAAAAACATAGTTTTGCAATCTTGTCCGTATGTCTGTGTGTGTATGTGTGTGTGTGTGTGTGTCTGTAAACACGATAACTTTAGTACCGTTATAGTTATGTAGTTGAAATGTAATATACAAGTATTATATCAAATTAGTAGGTCTGTATCAGCTTTTTAGCGATTTCCGATACCCAGAAGTGGGACTTATGGGACTTATTCTATTTTTATGTATTCAAAAGCGTATAACTTTAGTATTGTTTGAGAAAGATGAACGAAATTTCATATGTAAATAAAAAATCTAATTTTCTGGCTTCTTTCAAATGTTGAGTAATTTCTATTGACCGGAAGTAGTAATTTACGCTATTTTTTTTATTTCTAGAAAAAAAACATATAAATTTATAAAGTACAAATAAAATTCCGGTATTTTATACACATATTGTTTGATATTCTTTTGGTGCGCAATTCTTTTTTGCTACGAGATTCTATTCTATTTTCAAAAGTTTAATATCGCGATGTGTCTACTCACATAGTGCTATTTAAACTATTCAAGAAAGTTTAGGAGAGATCATTTCCGGTTTAGTTTATTTACAATAGAGTTGCATGGCTAAAAACAATTGCGCACCAAACAAACATGGCAGTGCGCGTTTAATAGTGTGGAAAGAGTAGTACAAGACTGTCTACTAATTTCAGATTTTATTTTATTAATTAATAAAAAACAATTAGGCCTCCAATAAAGTCAAATTTAAAGTCATATTGTATTGCCTTTAAGTCTTGACCCATGTGATGATTTTGAAACGAATCTGTCAGTTAGAAGTATCCGAAATTTCGCTCCTCATTTTCAGATAGACAGAATGACGACAGACAGAGGAAACAGGTGAAATAAAAGCTTGTAAAAAATGTTTTATGTCAATGTCAGCAATAATAAAATAGGAGATACAACAATAATTTCATTTGATGATACAACAAAAATTACCTTGGACGATACAGTGTGGTGTTCATGATAGTTGGTGATACAATAGTAATAACAATTAGTAATACAACAACAATAAAATGTGTGATTCAGCAATAATAAACTTTGAGATACGTACGATAATAATAACATTAGCTGATTCAATTAGACTGATCATCAGTGACACAAGAATGACAAAGATGATGCCATTAAACATATACAAAAAAACGTTCACTCACCAGCCTTAAAAACGTTCACACCGTTTGCCACGAGAGTTTTTTCCTTTAGAACTTGGGCGACAACTGCGACGTAACTGGTGGCCTTGAGAATGTTGACGCTGACTGTGAAATCCATGTTGGGGCGGATCGTTGACGGAGCGAGGATGAGATACGAACTGGAATTATGTTAATAATTATGTTACAAATACTTGCAATACCAGCGCAGGAATAACGTATAAGCTGAACAAGCTGCAGCTCTAGTAAATGTGGCCGCTCAGAGAGACATCATCTTGAATAAATTAGTATATCCTGGCAGGTTCAATACTGACGAGTCTGATGTTATTGCGAGGTATGTTTCACCAGATGCTGGGTTCCCCATACAACGTTTTCTTTATTTTCCAAGAGATTGGTCGCCAACAAAAAATACTATACCGTATAATAGTGCAGAATAAGCAGGCTGAAATCGGAGTCAATGGCATAACCAGTTGACACGTATTCTTAATTGTGTTGGAGGGGATCCCTTCCAACACTAAAAATTAAAAACGAAGAAGAAGAAGATCGAACCTCCTTTCGACAACTAGGACGCCTCCATTAAGTCGAATTTGATGTCAGATTGCATTGTCAACGGGTATTGATTAACGTGTCTTGTTTAGTAGAAATGGGTCGTTTAGAAGTGGTCGATCCATGCCGAAGCACGACAATAGATAGACAAAAGGGCGACAGACAGACTTGGAAAGCTAGTTAGATCTAAATAAAAGTGTATAAAAACAATGGAGGCGAGCGAGATGACGAGAATCCTTCCATCATGTTGTTGACATGGAATAAAAACGTGCTTTTTACTTTCTCGTATATACGAAGTATAGAGAAAGTATTGTAATCGTGCACAAAAATCACTTGAAATTTTAACAATTTTCCCTGTATAACACCTCAGTCCTTCATCACATCCGAAGTATAGAGGACTTATTTTAATCGGGCAAAAATTATCAGTCCAGGTTTATCAAAATTAAGAGGTTTTATGCGTAATCCAGTCTGAAAAACTAGGCTTTGCAATTCTGTCCGTATGTCTGTGTGTCTGTGTGTCTGTCCGTGTGTAAACACGATAACTTGAGTACCGTTACAGCTAGGTTGATGAAATTTCATATATAAGTATTTTATCAAAATTGTAGATCCGTATCAACTTTTGAGCGATTTCCGATAACCGGAAGTGGTACTTTTCCTACTTTGAATTTTTCAAAAGCCTATAACTTGAGTACTATTTCAGATAGATAAATGAAATTTCACATGTAAGTAAAAGACCTAATTTTCTACCTTCTGTTAAATTTTGAGTAATTTCCGTTGACTGGAAGTAGTAATTTACGCTACTTCCGATTTCTCAAAAAACTAATGTAAATTTTATAAGTACTAATAATATTGCGCACTATTATGCGCTTTTTTATTTGGCGTTCACTTGGTGTGCAATTAATTTGTCTACTAGATTTTATTCTATTTTTTAAACTTTAAGTATTCAAAATGGATTAAAAATCATGTCTATAGCCCGAGTTCCCATCCCCTGTTGTTTTATATAAGAATATTCGAGAAAGTTTAGGGGAGATCACTCCCGGTTTATTTACTTTCTCGTATATACGAAGTATAGAGAAAGTCTTGTAATCGTGCACAAAAATCACATTAAATTTGGACAGTTTTCACCGTTTTACTCCTCAGTCCTTCATCATATCCGGGATATAGAAAACTTATTTTAATCGGGCAAAAATTATAAACTCAGATATATAAAAATTTTGGCGTTTTATGCGTAATGAAGCTGGAAAAAAATGGATTATCCAATTCTGTCCGTGTGTGTCCGTGTGTAAACACGATAACTTGAGTACCGTTACAGCTAGATTGGTGAAATTTCATATATAAGTATTTTATCAAATACGTAGATCCGTATCAACTTTTGAGCGATTTCCGATAACCGGAAGTGGTACTTTTTCTACTTTGAATTTTTCAAAAGCCTATAACTTGAGTACTATTTCAGATAGATAAATGAAATTTGATAAGTAAGTAGAAGATCTAATTCTCTACCTTCTGTCAAATTTTGAGTAATTTCCGTTTATCGGAATTACTTATTTACGTTACTTCCGATTTCTCAAAAAACGCATGTAAATTTATAAAGTACTAATAATATTGCGCACTATTATGCACATCTTTATTTGGCGTTCACTTGGTGTGCATTTCTTTTTTCTACGAGATTATATTCTATTTTAAACAAGTTAATTAAAAAGTCTAGTGACAATTTTAGCGCAATTTCCTTATATCGAACCTCAGCTTATTAATAGGGTACAAAAATAACGTTTGATTTAATAAGTAAATTAAATCGAGATAAATCATATATTGAGCAAATAAATAATGCAACACAAGTAGTTTTAATAATTCAAAACAAAATAGAAAAAATATTTATTAACGAGATTTTTAAAAAAATCCTTTCGAACCTCCGCTCATTCGCTATGGTAAAATCCTTTCGAACCTCAGCTTATTAATAGGGTACAAAAATAACGTTTGAATTAATAAGTAAATTAAATCGAGATAAATCATATATTCAGCAAATAAATAATGCAACACAAGTAGTTTTAATAATTCAAAACAAAATAGAAACTAGCCTCCCGTATCAGTCGAAAAAAAAGGGGAGAGTAGCCTCCCGTATCAGTCGAAAAAAAAGGGGAAAAATTAAAAAAATCCTTTCGAACCTCCGCTCATTAAAATCCTTTCGATCCTCAGCTTTTGCGCTAAAAACCTACAAGACGCTCAGTTTAAAAATTCTTAATTAATTTTTTGTGACCGAACGAAAGGATATTTTTGAAAACTTTCTTCGGCAATATTGGTTTAAATTATGGCAGGAATCGATTGGTAAATGTTTCAAGTCGCTAAGTGGTCTGGTTGCCTAGATATGTAGCAAAAACTAAATTTGTTCGAGGTTTTTTGGCTTTTACGGGAAATCCATGAAAGAAACCCGGAATTTTTATGGCCTATGTTCATCCTCGTAACTGGCTTAACATAATTGCTTTTGGAACTAGTCATCGATATTGCTTCGTTGAGGAGGAGATACGACTTAAAGCTGCGGACACACATTCATCCATCCATCCATCCATCCATCCAGAAATGACGGGTTAATAAACGCAATTCTCCAGAATGGAAATTGCGCTAAAAAAATTGAGTATTTAAAGTGGATTAAAAATCATGTCTAGAAGTCTATATCCCGAGTTGCCATCCCCCGTAGTGTTATATTAGAATATTCGAGAAAGTTTAGGGGCGATCACTCCCGGTTTATTAGATTTAGCAAACAAAGCGACCGTAAAAATAATAAAAAATAAAAACGTAAGCGTAAAATTAATTCAGAAATTTTATATTTTTAGAATCAATGCAAATCAAGAGAACTTGAAAATAATTTGTTGAGTTTAAGGCTACATTTCTATTTATTTTCATCAAGCCTAAGTTATAACCCGATGTTTCACTTTCGTAAGACAAATATTGATTGACTGTACAGGAACTTCGTGATTAATAACGATTTGTTTCCAAAACTTTGCGGATAAAGTTTTTAAATAACAATGCAAATTTAAACCCAATGACCTAGTTTCCCTTTTTTCCCACGTTTTCTTTAACTTGCTTTCGCGTCTGGTTGTTTGTTTGTTTGTTTTTCCAATCAAATCTTGCGATCAAAATTTCGGCACTTCCCAGTTAGCTAGCGCGCTGAAATTTTCAGGGAAGCTTTGTTTCTGATGACAATACAATATTCAATTATTATTATTACTAAATTGATCCATGGAAAAATTTTAATGATCATTTTAGACCCCTATTGATTTGTACAAAAAAGGGACATAACCTAGTAATTGTAATTTGATAAAACAAGGTTCGGTACTTTCCCTCTTCTGGCTTACTGAAGGAGCAAGCACGCGATTGGCTGAGTAGTGGTTACGCGGTGTTTGTGTACAAAGGAAGTAGAATGTTGATGGTCGAATGGTTTGCACGCGAGGGCAAAATGGTGAAAGAAACGGCAACACAGAAGAAACGTCGATTGGAAAAGGCACGTGTTTTTTTACGAGTTGTCTTCGTTTACCCAAAAAAAAAGTGAATGCGAGAAGATAAAATCGATAGCAAGATTTGAATGCAAACAAACAGACAAAGACTAAAAAGTAGAAAATAATTATCATTAAAAAAGTTTTTAAAAACCCACGTTTTCTGATTGAACTAAAAAGTAGAAAATAAATGCTATACATCACAATAATGCAAGCGATCACTCTACGTTTTTCATTTTTTGTCATAATGCGCACGCAGTTTGCGATCGCTTATAGTAGAGTGATCGCTTGCATTATTGTGATGTATAGCATTTATTTTCTACTTTTTAGTTCAATCAGAAAACGTGGGTTTTTAAAAACTTTTTTAATGATAATTATTTCCGCTTACAATGTGTACAATAAAATTTATGGCAGCATATCGAATAGCAGGATGCCATTGTTTATGTCGCTATTACACGTGAAAACCAAATTGTTTTTACTTTTTTTTAAAATGTGTATTTAGTTACTCCAAATAATAACAACATAAAATACATCCAATCTTTAGTAAAGTCCGAAAAAAACCAGACAGACAGGGTTTTATAACCATATAAATTGATACTACGCCGTGAATGATTTTTTAATTATTTTAATGGGCCTCTCGAATACTTTCTTGCTCGCGTCCATTGGAACTACCGCTTCCTTCACTTAAGAAATCCACTTACTTTTGAGCACAGACGGCGTTGATAACCACGATAAGAAAAAGAAACAACCGCATCTTGTATAAAAACTGTAAGGGAATAAGACTTTATTTAAAACGTTTACTTAGACAGACGCTATTGACTATTTAAAACTAATTAAAACTTTTGTTTTGAAGTTGACCATTTCATATAGATCTAGATGCGTCACGTTCATCTTTGATGAAGAATGAGACGGAAATTCCCGATTACGCTTCAAACGTTAATTGATTCTTACCTTAGGTTAAGTAAATACAATCACTTAGCACATATTACACTTTTAACAAGCTTTTATTACAAGCCTTTAATTTTTTTTTCTTCCTCGTGCTTTTGTATTGGTTTTGTCATTTTCTGTTGTCACTCGTGGATCAAAACTGGCGAATTTTCGACTTCTAATCCATAAAATATTTTAAAAACTGGGCACGTGGGTCAATACCCGAAGACAATGCAATCTGGACATCTCGCTTGATTCAATTGGATGTTTAATTAATTTAAAAAATAATAATAATGTAATATTTAAAGTACTATTTTCCGCGCTATTATACGTACATTGTGTTTATTTATTGTGCAATTGCTTTAGTCATGCAACTCTATGGCATTAAAAATTTCAAGTATTAAAATAAAATTAGTAAAAAACGTTTTCAAAACAAGCTTTATTAAAATTATGCACCACACTAAAATGTTTTCTACAATTTAAGCACACGTTTCGTTTTTATTATTGCTTTCCATTTTCAACATTCAAATTCTTCCTAGTTTATCAAGGGACTTAATGCGTGCTAAAAAACTACATGCTAATAATTATCACTATAAATTTGAAAAATGAAAATTATTTTACTACACCTTCAATATTAATTTCTAAATCATGAATTTAGACGATGAGCACTTTAAATGTATAACACTATGACGATGAACTCACATACGTACATGCAGAATTCAAGTTTATATATTATATATAAATAAACTATTTGGCTTTACCCCATTGAAAGTTATTGTGCATTTCTTAATGGAAAAAAAACTGTTGTAATTGTCATTGTTTTACTTTCCCTGTCCACTCCGGTGGACTTCAAGAAGGGATCGAGGGCGTTTTTCTTTTTAATATTTGAATTGATAAAATAATTCAAAACGGCTTTTCAGCGGCTTATATTTAAAACAAAAAAAAATGAAAATAAGTGTAAACGATGGTTCCCAAACCGATTTATTTTTTAATGTAACTATAATTTGATCGCTTACAATATTTTTTTTTTCATTTAAAAACAATTAGTATGATTACATTGACTTTTCAAGCCTATTACAGTAATTTTATATATTCGGTATACGAGAAAGTAAAAAGAAAAGAAAAGATTATAAAGTGACCCAACAAATTGTATTACCACTGAAAAATTGTAACATTAACAAAGATAGTTTTGAAAGCAAGATTTTATTTGCCAATATGTTTTTGTTTAATATAAGAGATGTGTAATATCAAACAGCATATCTGTAAACCGTGAGAGAAGAGCTTTGCATGCATCCCATGTTTTCTTTAATATCTGTGAGAATAAGCAATGCATATTATAATCAATAATTAAATCACCACGTTTATGTGTAAAGCAGCTTTAGAAATAATTATCAAGTTTTTCGGTAAATTATATTCCTAGAGACAATATTGAAATACATATTGTATTATTAAAGTGCAATAGATAAATGTATTCGTTAGAGTCTGATCATTGCAAGTTGGACTTAACAAGACAAATTAGCTTAAGTACAATGCTTCACAAGATTACTTCAGACGGATAAAATATCTTAAACATTATGCCTCGTATACAATACACAGATAGATTATTTGTTACATAATAACTCAAATAAAAATACATCAGGCTAAAAGTACAAAGATACTTCCTCACATACATTATTTCAGAACAGAAAATATCTCAAACATAATGCATTTATTACAATACAACAGAAAGACATAATATATAAACAATAATGCTTCCAACCCCATATTTATCGAGACAAAATGATATCACGATAAAATGTTTAAGAACAATTATCTCAATAAACTAGGAGAAATGGAAATGAAAGCAGTTTCCGAACTAGTTTTCATTTTTTTATATATATATTATACTCCTGAAAATAATCGCTGACCGGAAACAACATAATAAACATCAAAACATAACCTGAACATTTCCGGTGACCGGGCGACAGTTCTCACACTTGGGGCATACGTCACAGATGGTGGAGTCTTTCAGAAGTTGTGATTGGTAGAACACTGTTACCTGGTTGCCTGTTTCATATAAAACAATTTATTCAGGTAGCGAAATTTTAAATCTATGAACAATTTTTTTACAAATATAAAATACTTGATAAATCGCGCGTTGAGGAAGAAATAAAATGCGCTAGGTTGATAATGTTTTTTTTTCTATAAACCGCAACCGAAATCCTCACCTCAACCTCAAATTTAACCGGAAACAAAAAAATATAATTGAAAACGGATTTTTATCCTGAATCGGCATTTTAACTGGATCGGAATACAAATGATCAGACACAAACTGGAGCCATTTAACCGCCATCGAAATTTTACTTTAAGGGGATTTTTTTAAATCCAAAATGGGCCTTCGAACCGGATTCCAAACTTATAACGGATGGATATGGAAATATAGGAAGAAACGGAAATTTAACAAGATACACAATTTTTTAATTTGGAACTTTATCCGGAATCGGCTCTTTTACCGGATACAGACATTTAGAACCTTAACAAGTACAAAATCTAACCGAAACCGTAGATCGTTCGTAACCGGCATTTTAACTTAATCCGGATATATAACTGAAAACAAAATGTGGCTGGAAACGACATGTAACCTGAAACGGAGTTTAAAAATAGCAACGTAAAATTATCAGGAAATGTACATAGAAACCGGTAAAGTAATTTAATTGAAAACGAAACTTCATCCATTGACGGAAATTCGACTCAAACTTAAATTTAACAGCAGCCTAAAATTTAACTGAAATTTGAATTATAATATGGACGAAATTTAACTGAAAACGGAACTTTATTTGAAACCGACATTTTAACCTGAACCGGAAAGTGAATATGTAATGAAACACCTAATAATCCTAGCCTCAACCGTAATATTAATACTATAGATAGTACAGACACGTTGGTAAACGACTCTTTTCTATTTGCTTAAATATTATCAGTTCTCAAGGTTTGAATTTCCACAACACAACTTTTAAAATGTTTTATTGTAATGAAGTTAAATTTTATCGATGAGGATAACCACTTTCAAACTAAACCAATCTAGGAAATCTTTTTCAACCGAAAAAAAAATGCACACAAACCTTGTCAAAGTAGAGAATGACCTTTTTGTTTTGTGTCTCGACTCTCTTCACAATGTCCAGTTTGGTGATTTTTTCAAGGTCAGCCTCAAAGCCTGATGGGATACCGATCTCTTGGACGGCCATTCCACTGCTGGGTCCATTTCCTAGCCATCTTGTTGTGTAAGAAGGTATTAAAATTTTAATGACAGTTTATTATTAATCATTGAACTGAGTCTTTATAACCCTAAGTGCCATAACAGTGATAAGTTAAACACACTTAGACACAATGGCAAAATATGAAGATTGTTTCACAATAGACTGATCTAAGTTTTGAGTGTAGAGTGTGTTTGTAGGGGGGGGGGGGTGTCTAAATTTCATATAAATAAACTTGGAGAGGACACAAGTGCTAAACACATACACAAAGAATAGTCCTGAACAGTCAATTTTATAATTATACTTTTCTCCATATTAAAGATCTATATTAGTCCCAAATTTTTCCCTACAATTTTTGAGAAGGTAAGCGCCCTCCACCTTCCATACTACTTGCCACCCCTTAAATGCGACAATAAACACACCTTATGCATGTCTCTATTTCCAAAGATTTTAGAGTCTCCTTTACCATTTTGACTTTCAGATCAAAGGATTTTGCCTCTATTTCAGACAGCACATTGAAACTTACAGCCACCTATATAAGCAACACAATGTCAGAACACTATATGGGAAGTATTACTTGTCATACATATATATTTATTGAATAGCAAATTACAGTGTATTATCTCTTATAGCCTAGTTGCATTTTTATCTTTTTCATTTATATTTTAGTTTATTAAAAACTAATGTAGACCACATAACATAATCATCACTACTTTTACTGAGAATGTTTCATATCATAAAACTCATTTTCAGAGTTTGAAAGATTTTGGGTATTTCAAAAACGAAGTGGCGATTTTCTTTAAAAATCTATTTTAAAATTCTTCCGAACCTGACGGTTCATGGAGCAAGTGAAGTAGAGTTCACCTGCTTGTGTGACCATGGGCATATAAAGAGATAGTGTGGGGTTCTGTCGCATACTTTTCCATTACATTTTCAGCCCCCTACCTATCGTCATACATCATCAAAAACGTCCACATTCCCCTCTCATCCCTAAGAATGGCGTTATTTATCGACAACCCAATAGCCATAAATGAAATGATCGATGTTTCCTGTTCTATTAAAATCATAGGGTAGAGAGAAAGTACCTGAACAAGAGCCATGCCTGATCCAGTAGCTGTAATAACAACTTGTGCAGGGACTGTTGTATTCTATATATACATGGAAACATATAGAGAAATATATAACTAAATATATATACATGCTATATACATATATTTATGTTTGCATTGTGTATCTTTATATATTAGTAGCTTATCAGAAGATTGTTTTTCATCAATGTGTTACAAATCATATGTTCTTAAATACGTGACCTTGTTTTCTAAAACTGAGTTATTTAAATGTAAACAATGCCTGCGCTACATTTCTTGGTTGATATTTTCGGGCACGGGTCTGCCCACACTACCGTCCTTACACCTCTGAACGAGCCAAACGGCACCATGCCGGGGCGCCTGATTTTATTTGGTGAACGACTATATTCATAGCATATCGCACCCTTTAAAACGAACATATGTGCCATTGCGATCACGGTAAAGTCCGAGATGTCAAATCGCATACTGCCAGGTCGCCTCGGCGAAATTGAATTTTATTTTCGCAGAAACCTCCTCTGGAGTATTTACATCAATGCCTCAAAGTTTTATGGCGATCGGATGAAAGGTGTAGTAATGTATAAATAACAAACAAACAAACCCATACAAACTTTGTTTTTTACATATTATATATATATATATATATATATATATACATTCATATATATATATATATATATATATATATATATATATATATATATATATATACGTATATATATGTATATATAAAATTGTATATTAGTTGATGTGATAAATGTATATTCTTAAAAAATTAAGTTTGGACTATCGACCTCTTTAGACTGCAGCAGAAGTGAGTTGGTCTTGTCAATATCGAAGGTGTAGGTAGTCTCATCGTCCAGCTGGCTGGTGATGTGGAGTTTTACTTTGTTTCTGGGCATCTGCTTGGCGTACTCGCTGAGGGCGTTCAGGGCAACCACTGTGTCCTGTAGTGAAATTGACAGATAAAAAACTCGATCTTTGATTAATTTATAACACTACATTTTAAAACGATTTATAAAGAGGCGGGGTATGTTTCATACAAATTCAATAAATTGGCCTAAAATAAATACAGTCTAAAAATTTTGTTTAGAGTTTAACACTGTTAATGTCTTGATAAACCTGTGTGGATATGAAGCCTCCGTTGGCGTTTCTCTGTTTGGTGATCCACTGCATGATGCTCTTGCCCGATACCAAGTCGCCCCGCTTTGTGTAGGTCAGCAAAACGTAGGCGGTCATCTCAATGTCAATGGCCTTGGTGGGGTTAGGCCAGTGCCATGGGTCGGTAGAGGTCTTAGGGGGCTCATGCTGGTGCCAGTACACCGTGCCGTCTGTTTATAGAAAGAAAAAAGGGAATTTTTCAACTGCGTGGTATACAATAGCAATGTGCTGATTGTATTGTAGAGAAAATCTATTCAAGTAAACACTAGTTTTTATTGCGATGCGACTATGATTTAAATGTTCCTCGTTACATGCTAACGTAATACCAATGGAGGCGGCCGCTTTTGACGAGTTGGGTTCGATCATTATTGTTGAAATGAACAAGAGACCAGTTTTTTTTAATTCTGAAAACACCACTTCCTTGTAATTTGTACTAAAAAAGTGCCAATACAATTAAATACAATTATTTTAAAAAAAAAATCATATAACCTAGCTCAGCCATGATTGTTGTCATTTTTAACTGCTTTTTTTTAAGGTCATACGTCTGTTAGTTTGGTTGTGTGTTTATTTGTTTGTTGGTTTGTGGCAAATCGTGTAACTAAATTGTCATCCACGTTTAATACACCGATTTGGTTCAATCTTTTAACAATCGTTCCACTTCGATGACAATACAAGTCTGTCTATTTTTTATTTTACTAAAAAGTTTAATTAGTCATTAAAATTAATTAAACAATTTTGAACCTAAGGGGAGATGACAAAATTAAATCAATTGATAGACTAATAGATTCAATAACAGCAGATGAGATAACTAGCTAGACGCAATCACCCTAAAATTCTGGAGAGCTGTGGTTCATGAGAATGTTTACTATTATAGAGTCGGTCGATCAAGTGAAGGCAAAAAAAAATTTAAACTAAGAGGAGGTAACAAAATTAAGAATATTCCTTAAGAACTTCGCTGTAGATTGTTGTCACGGACGAGTGTTTTTCACAGGGCAGATCGTCTTTTAGATATTGCGAGTTACTGACGGTGTTGTTAAGCAATTTTTTTAGTCGTATTGATTTTATAAATTAAGAATCACTTGAAAGTAAAACAATATGAAAAACCTTTATAGCAACAAGCGTTTAAAAATATGTAGATCTCATTAGCGACTAACGCTTTAATCAAAGAAAGCAAGTTATTTGTATATATTTTCTTATTTTCAGTGGTTTTAAAATCTTGTTGCTATAAAGGTTTTTTGTGGGGTTTTTTTTGTCTCTACACCACCCTCTATTATAACCATCTGTTTTACACATTTATAACAGGCATGTCACGAGTTTACTTTGAATAGAATGATTGCATTCAAGATTTTGCATTGTTGTTCGAGTTATTGCTTCGTGTTCTGTTACACTGCGAATGGGTAGCTTGGGGTTTAAAAAGACGCAGAGGGAAGGGAGAGAAATGTTGAAGAAGAAGGTTCGAAGCATGGGTTCCGTGATGGACGTCGGGGGATAATAGTGTTTTTTTTTGTGCGCTGATATTTTGTAGGCTATGCGGGCACAGTGTCTTGAAGACTTGCGATTATACACA